ATATATATGTTTTTATTAAATCTGTTTTGTTGTCAGCATTGTTTGTTTTTGACGTGTGAATGGAAAGGTAACAAATGACCGAAATAAAAAACTCAGAAAAATAGAAATATAGTTTAGATTTTCCATTTTCCCTAATGTGTTTATGTCTGAACTGTTTGTGAATTTAAAATAAAATAACGTCCATGATAAATATCTGGGTTTTCATTATTAAAGTGTCATTTTTTGAGAGTTGGATGTTTATGAATAGAGTACAGAAATGCAGAACCCTATAAGTAAGAGTAGATTGACATTTCCACTATAACAAATACGGGAATATTTTCTTATAAACCCAAAACAATGCATTTAAAAATGTATACGTGTCTTGTCATCATGTGACTTTAACTTACCACCAGCCAGTCTTATAAGAAGCAGTCTCTGTGTGCTTTTTTTTTTTACTGCAGCTGTTTTAAGTTACTGTTGCAAGTCAGTCTGGGTACAAAGTAACTGACAAACCCTTTCCCAAAATACATAAGAAGTTAAATCCCTTCAGAAGTGACCACATGCTGTATGTGTTCACATGTGAAGCAGGAAGTTTGCTGCAGGACAGAAATAGGTTCGTGTTTTCCTGATGTCACAGACAAAAGCCGCCCAGAAATCCCACAGCAGCCTGAGCAGCATACTTTACATTCATCCAGACTCAGGTTGAGACGGTGGAAACACGGCATCTGCTGCATCATAAATCAATAGCAAACATAAAGAGCTTATCCCTGACCCTGACCTACTGTCCACTAACAGCCTGATACACCTCACGCCTGTCTGCCTCAGCAAATGGCATCTTTGTCAAAACGAACATAAGGCCGTTACGCTTTTCTTTTTCAAACTGCGTGTATGTCATGCTAATTGTTTATTAAAATCCAGGATGGTGATTTCAATGTGTGCTTCGACTGAACATTCAAACTTTAACCAGAATAAATGGACCATCTGGCTCCTCAGTTGTGCCTGCTGTCCATCCTTGTACTTTCCTTCCCTTAAAACTGCTTTACTTTCGGAGTTTTCAGTCTGCCTGAGCTTTARAGACAAAACCCAGTAGTTCTGTTAAAACTAACCAACAGATTTTGGCTCGTTTTGAGCCAACAACTGCCTGCTAAATTCTTGTTTACAAAATTTGGAACTATTCTTTTTTTTTTTTTTCTACCGTCTGCAT